AATGTGCAACAGGATTGAAGCATATGAGATTTTTTTTTTCTGATACCTTGGCATATAGATGCCAAGGTATCAAAAAAAACCTAGCTTGGATCATTTAGTCTCCCACACATTTGAAATCTCAGTACTGTCTTGGGGCTGTTCAAACTCTTTCACAGTAAGCTGTGCACAGGGAAAGAAGAAGAAAGCATGCTGCAGAGCAGCCATGGCCCTAGAAACAATCTCTGCCACCTCTCTCTCTTTCCAAAAGCAGGACAAACACAAAGGTATGTTCTGTTGTTTCTCCTGGTTCAGGAAGCTTGTTCTGTTGTAAACTAAAACTGCAACCGGATCTTGAAGCAAGGAATAAATGCTGAGAAAGAGGAATAATCCCAAGACTTATGTTTCATGGATCATGAGGTGTTATTAGAAATTATTTCTGAGACTGTTTTCTCCACAGAGTAACCCAGATACAACACCAAGCATCTGCAAGGTACCTTAGCAGAGCACAGAAGGTGACAGCATGGATGATAATGGTAAAAGACAATGAAATCCAGACTGTCTGTTTCAGGTGCCCTTCTAAAAGCTGACACCTCCTAAAAAAAGGACTTGATCTCCATCTCTAGGCCAAACAAATTCTGGGAAATGTAACTGAAAGGGAAGTGGCTGTAAATGGTGACATTAAAGAATAGCACTTGAGCAGCAGTGTGAATGGAGACTCTCAAAGTACACTTCGAAAGGTTTAACGGGGCCTTGTTTACTTATTTACTAAAAAGTTTTCTCTTCTAACTCTTTAAACCCACATTTCTACAAAGGACCAGCAGAAGGTTGGACTGCATGTAAACTATTCCATGCATGTACACATCTGACACATTTTTTTGATAAGAACATTTTTCCAATTTCCATTTTTCAGGTAAAACCAAATTAATGAGATAGCAGAATCGAGTGCATTGGCCTTTTTATGGGTAACATGTGCCTGCAAAGTGAGGGGAGCAAAACAATTGCAAAGAGTGCATTTCTTGTGAACAAAATGACAGGTAGACATCACCCATCTGTGTTCTGTCCCATTACAACTGCCAGAATTGTAGTGGCATTTCTACAAGGGCTCTGCATGGGCTGTAGCATATTTGTCTATATGTATTTTACAGTAAAAAAAAAAAAAAAAAAAAAAAGCAGACAAGAGTTACAAGAGTCAGAGCAGTGACAATGCCAGTAGAGCAAACCCCACAACCCATCTTTGGGGTGCAGGAGTGGCAGCCCTCTTAGCAGCACGGGTCTGCCCAGCACAGAGCATGTCTGTACACAGGCACCCACCACCAAAAGTTTCAACTCTCCAAGATCCTTTTTCACACTGGGTATCTCCTTATGGTTCCTTCCTTTTGCTGCTCCATCCATGGTTTCTTTCCAAAACTAGACACAGAGAAGGTCAGCCTGTCCCACTTTGGGCTTAGCCTCTCACTGGTCTACGCCGCAGCTCCTGACATCTACCAGTTCCCAAACTTTTGCTGCCTCCCAAGTTATTTCCAG